AACACAACTAATACCTCAAAAACACTGCATAACAACAGGCTGTCCACTGTACTCTACCAAACACAGCTCGACCTCGCTGTGCGAAAGACACTGGAGGCAAAACAGAAGAAAGCGCTTATCTTGTTTGCCCAGTGTTGAGTCTGCGAGAACCGGTTTCACAGAGCACAATTTTCATTCTAGAATCACACCATCAATCTCAGGCCGCTTCAGGCAAATAGCCCGGCCCATTTTGCCATCCATCATCATGTCTGCCTTGCTCCGGAGGTACAAATACGCACAAAAACTGTTTCTTCGACGGGTCACAAAACATCGTTAAATGGCACCTACAGCATCTCCGTGGGTGTGGGATCAAACACCTTAAACCTTACAAAAAAAGTCCACTTTACAATGTTTCGAAATATCTTAAATCTGATGTATGGATGTTTTCATAACCTGCATGAACGCTCCTGTCTGAGCAGAAAGCTGATTCCATGATCTCCATAAACTTAACTAAGTCAAAGGAATCAGTTTTGTTATAGTTGTATATCAACACCATGTAATAGACATGGGAGATATTGTGTGTCTACCCTACTAATATCAGTAAACAAGTTCTTCTTTCAAATAAAAAGGGGAAAAAGTCAATTATTGTCTTATCCTAATTAAAACCAAACTCTTTAAATTCATATAAAGATGTTAATCTGACCGAATTTTTTTTTTTTTTACAAAATGGGGCATCTCACTCAAATAATGAAATTGTGATATTTTCCTAAGAACTGGGCCTTATATTTCCTTAATGATAGAGGAGAATAATTAGTCATCAAGAGGTTAATGAATGTCAAAAAGTTGTAACTAAACATCTAGTGAAAAATGCTACACAGCGGAATGAATTCTGTTGTTTAAGAATTCATTAAATTCATTAAACAGTGCGAGCCATTAGCTTCATTTTCTGGGAGGCAAACTACATTTAGATTGATTACTATTAATAAAACCCATCCTTACCAAACAACCATTTTGGCAGGAGATTAGTTGGGGTAGTTGTAGGTTTTGATTTCTCAGCTTGACGGATTTATATGAACGTATTCAGGTTTTGGAGTGTTTGACTAAAAACATCATTCAAATATGTGTCTTTGGGCTACTGGAAATAGGGGCAGGTTGAACATGATGCTAAAGTTAACATGACAGCTTGAAAAAGTGAATTATGGTACAGTGAAATATTTCTGTCGACCGATTTATTATTTTTTCTTCTTTCAAACGGTTCAAAGAGTTCAAACATTTGTGCGATACAGCTTCAATGAACGGAGAAATATCTTTAATCTCAAGGCACGTCTCTGCGTCAGAGCAAACTTTAATCTATTTATAGCGTGACATTTTCAGTATCATTTGCTTTTTGCATGTGGAAGCTTTTACTAGACTTATTGATTTAAAAAAAATATATATTTGGTTCTTAAAGGACCTTCAGACAGTGCTCATAAGTATGGAGAGCAAAAATAGTAATTCAATGATTTCAGTATCTTAGCTGACATGCAGACAGAATTCATATGTGTTAAGTATTAGTGTGCTAAGGAGTACTGGATGGGTAAAATGTCCTGTATATACATTATCTTTCATCCACTGACAGCTGGGATATGTTCTTTCTTTTTCCTATACTGGATGAAGTAGGTTTTAAAATAAATCAATGAATTGATGGCTTTAGAACTGTTTATTTTGACCCTGTTATTTTCAAAAGGTTTTAAAAGATTATAATGCTTTGTCTTTATCGATTAGTTCCAAAGTGCATCTATTAATTTAAATAGAAGCCTGTACATTGCTAGGCACTGACAGAAACATCACCTGAGGTCACTTCCTGCAATCCATTACTCAATACACACGCTGAAACAGCCCAGGGAAAGTTCAGTCTGAGCACAGGTCGACACAATGAGAAAGTACAGGCAGAGTTTAGGAGCCTCTTATTGATTTTTGAAGAAAAACACAAACACACACAACCAACTTTTTAAACAACTGTCATAATACAACTCTCATTGCTTCTATTGGTGGATCAATCTTTTTTTTTTTTTTTGTCTGAGCGTAGAGAAAGCCATTCCTCACAGGGAAGCTCGTGGTGGTCAACTAAGATGTGAACGTATGAACTTGTTGCTTCTACAGCATGACTAGCTAAAGCCAGGCTGGCATCAGGCAGTTGCGAAGCTGTCGTTACACCACATGCCGAAGTTACTCTACTGGACTCAGATCTGGAGGCTTTATGTTCAAGAAACCAGTTGGAGATGAGATGACATAACTACTAACCATTATGTAGTATTAAACTTAGAAGATTTATTTAACAATGTCCAGGCCAGAAAAAAAAATCAAGTTCTCATTTGAGGTCGTAGAATACCTCATTTCAACACATAGCAAGGACTTTATGGAGAGGATTTTAATTATATCTTTGAGTTTTGATACATAAATGCTTTGAAACAGAATGAGGGTGTGTTTTCTTGAGCGCATGACCATATATCTCCTGCAAAGGTCATAGAGATTGGGAGGCATAAGGACAAGGGCTTGAGTGAGGCTACAAATCCTAAAGCGTTCAGAATGTGTCACAAATTGTGCTGACAAAGAGGATCCCCTTCACGGATGGTAAAGGACAACAAGCAATGCTTATACATAGGTCACAGGATTAAAAACAGATAAGACGGTCTCGCTGGAAATGCTACGGTTCACAGCGAGGTGAGCAATCGGCCTCCCCAAGAACTGCAGTGCAAAATCCAGCGGATATAGTGTGTGAGACTATGTTTTTTCCCCTTACCATTGTGCAGCAGAAGCACACGGGAAAAATGTTGATGGATTTCAAGGATATGGCTGATTGGAGCAAGCGGCACTGGCAAAACAATCTGTAGAAAATAAGCAAGATTCAGCCCATAGGGGGGAGTCACCGATACTCCTGCTATGCTGAGCATCTATGCCATCTTGTATTTTTCCGACTGGCCGACCTGCTGCAGAGTATCAAAACGTGGTTGAAGGGACTGAATGGACCTTCACATTCAGAACATTTGAGGCATTTCTGTGCTATACCAAAAGAGTCTCCAACTTCATGAGATCACAGTGTTGTCACCTGTCAACGTCTTACTCAAAGTTTCTTTTATAGGCACAGCATATAACATACATATTGGTATGGTTTTCCTCAAATATTGGCAGTGACCTCCTGCAATATTAATCAGATGCTTTATTTATCTCATTCAGGCCTCTTAAAGGCCAGGTCTTTTCTTATCATTTCATATATGTTAAACCTTGATTGAATTTGAAATAGGGTTTACTTTCCCCTTCCCTCGACTCAAAGCCATCCAGGCTGAGTGAGAGGCCATATTTGCCCATTATTAAAAAGGAGAATGTAAGAAGAGGGTGCAAGTTGAAACAGGTGCCTGACCTTCCCTGGAGAAGCCGTGATTCGGGTGAAAGGACAGCACTGAGGTAATTAAGGGCACAGGTAACAGAATGGCAATGAGCCC